CCTAGTAGCTCTTCTTCTTTTTTTTTTTTTTTAAAGACTGTCAGAGAGCGAGAGCACAAGCAGGGGGAGCGGCAGGGAGAGGGAGAAGCAGGCTCCCCGCTGAGCAATGAGCCAGATGCGGAACTCGATCCCAGGACCCTGGGATCATGACGTGAGTTGAAGGCAGACACTTAAGCCACCCAGGCACCCCCCTCTTCTTCTTTTTTATAAGGACACCTATCATGTCAGATTAGGATCACACCCTTCTGACCGCATTTAAGGTTAATTACTTCCTTAAAGGCTCTCTCTGCCTCAACATAATCACATTCTGAGATACTGGGGGTGTGTGTGGGCGTTGACATGTACATTTGGAGGGTACACAACCCAGTTCCTTAGTGGTTAGCTCTCTATGTGGGCATTTAATCTTTATCTTTTTTTTTCTTTTTTTAAAGATTTTATTTATTTATTTGACAGAGAGCAAGCGAGAGCAGGAACACAAGCAGGGGGAGTGGGAGAATGAGAAGCAGGCTTCCAGCTGAGCAGGGAGCCCGATGCAGGGCTTGATCCCAGGACCCTGGGACATGACCTGAGCTGAAGGCAGACGCTTAACGACTGAGCCACCCAGGCACCCCTAATCTTTATCTTAAAAGTCTTGTGAAACCACTCCTCCTCATCCACACAACCCTAGGGGATATATGGGCAAAGTATATGAAGTCAGCTCACAGAACAGGAAATAAAGCTTTGAAAAATAATTAAAAAAAAAAAAGCTGGAAATGAACCTTATTCATGAGAAGAGGAAGATACATGTTTGACTGACATTCTTATTAAAATTTCTTCTAAAAGCCAAGAATAAAATATTTTAAAGCTGTTTATGTAGATTTTATTTCCGTTTCAATACCGTGTCACTCAGAATTACACATGTGGTTATATCCTAGAGTTCTTCCTTTGAATTATGTGCAGATCACAGGATTAGATTTTCCTAGTTGAAACATTAAGTAATATTGAAACACAGAGAGTAAAAACTGGAAGTTTTCCTCCCATTCCCCCTCAAAACCTTTCCCAGAGATAACCTCTGTTAAAGGTGAAGGCTTAGCCTTTTAAACTTTTTCCCAGAGACTCACATACATGAATTTACGTGTAGACATACAGGTCTGTTCACATAAATGCGTGCATCATGCTAGGCACGTTGTACTGAAAGCTGTATTTTTCACTTAATTTGTTTTCATGACCTTTTTCAGGAACTGCATATAGACCCTTCACAATTTAAAAAATGTTCTGCAGAGTATTGCGTAATATAAATGAAATAAATTCTTCTCCTATTGTGGAAAAAATAAAATTCAAACAGTTAAATTGTAAGGCCCCCAGTTGGTGTCCCTGAGAAGTGGAGAACTGCTTGGTGTGGAAAAACCCACACAACTGGTATCAAAAGTATTTAGTAGGAGGAGGGAGAAACGGTGTTTCTCTTCGTTTGCTTATATGCCACCCATAACCAGATGAGGGAAAAATGCTCTCACTTACAATTATTATAATGACAATAAAATTTAGAAATACCATAACAACAAAAACAAAACTATGTCTCTCTCTCTCTGTCTATATATATACATATATATAGAGAGAGAGGGAGATAAAAAAGATTTGAATAAATGGAGACTCCTCACATTTCCCGAACAAGACTAAACCCTGTAAATAGATTAATTTATCCCCAAATTTATATGTTTAATGTCACATTAATCCCTCCAAAAAATACCAAAGTTAAAAACATTATTTTGAGTATTGCAAAATTATAATGATGTTCACCTTGAAGAATGAAGATGAGAAAATCACCGTGAACACTGGGGAAAAACAGATTATTTACAATTAATGTTGAGAAATTGGCCATTTGTAAATAAATACAATTATATATTCTCCTGAATGTCAACAACACAAAAACAAATTTCAGATGGATTAAATAGTTCAATCAATTAAAAACAGAACAGTTTAGAAGAAAATATAGGTGACACGCTGGCTTCAATGGGAAAGTATTTCTAAGAATTGAAAGCAGTGTCAAAAATCACTACGGAAAAAAACCTAGATTTGACTATAGGAATAAAAAAACCCTGTTCATTAATAAAACATTATAGCAAAATTTATGAAAAGTTTCTCACCAATAAAAGAAATACAATAGGTGTGTATCCTTGTATAATATATACTAGATTTTTTTACTCTATGTAAGTAAAACTTATAAGTTGTTAAACTATATATATATATATACACATATATTTTTTTTTTACTCAACATCATCTAACCATAAGACTGAATGTACACCTACTTTGTACTTTAGTCTAACTCATACAGTGTCACAAAGTATGCCCACATCTTCATTATCTATTCCCATTAAGATGGACACTTAGGTAGCTTCCAATTCATTGCCAACATAAATGAAGTTGCAGTGAACCCCCTTGTGCCCGTACCTCTGGGGACCTGTGCAATGACATCACTGGGCCACACACCCAGAAATGAGCGCAGAGCAGACACCAATTGAGTTCACTGCCAGATTGCTTCCTATCTGGGCCATATTGGTTCTTGTTCCCACAAGTGCTCCTAAATTTCCCTACATCCTGGCTGATGCTGCATGGTATCCAACTCTCTGACACCAATCCGATGGATGCTGAGCAGTATCTCATGGTATTTTATTTGTATTTTTCTGATTACTAATTGACTGCCTTGTTCTCTTTGATTTGTAGGAGTTCTTTGTATACCCTAGTGTTAATTCCTTACTGATTTTTTATAATATTTTCTTTCAGTCTGGTTATGGATTCCATTCATGGAATGGATTTGATCTATATATGCCAGTTGTATAATTTTTCACCTTATCACTTGTTTAGATATTATTTTTTAATCTATTATCAACATCCTTTTGGAATTCAAAAGCAGTTATAGGTGTTGAGACAATTGATATCCCATATGCAAAAAAATTAAGCTGGACCCCTATCTCACATCATATACATCAAAATGGATTAACATTCTAAATTTAAGAGCTAAAATCATAAAAGTCTTATGAAAAATATAGTTGTAAATTTTCGTGACTTTGGATTTGACAAAGGATTCTTACATATGATACCATAGGTATGAGTAACAAAAGAAAAAGTAGATAAACTGGACTTCATTGAAATTAAAAACCTTTGTGGATCAAGGGCATTATCAAGAAAGGGAAAATACAACCTAAGCAATGGGAGAGAATATTTGCAAACCATGTATCTGATAAGGGTCTTGTATCCAGTATATATAAATAACTCTTACAACTTGACAACGAAAAGACAACCCAATGAAAAAATGAACAAAGGATTTGAATAGACTTATCTCCAAAGAAGATATCCAAATGGCCAGTAAGCACATAAAAAGATGCTCAACACTATTAGTCATAGGAAAATGCAAATAAAACACACAATGAGATTTCACTTCCTACCCACTTAGAGAGGCCACCATTTTTTTATAAAAAGAGGGGTGGGAAATAACAAGTGTTCGTAAGGATGTGAAGGAACTGGAACCCTTAATACAAGAGCTATCCAAACAAATACATGTACGTGCATGTTTGTAGAAGGATTACTCATACATAGCCAAAAGATGGAAACAAATCAAATGTCCACCAACGAATGAAGGGATAAACAAATCTTATGCTACAGCTATATGGTGGAATATTATTCAATCATAAAGAGAGATGAAGCACATGCCACAACATGAATGAATGTGTCATCCTGAATAAAAGCCAAAAACAAAAGGCCATATGTTATATAATTCATTTCTATAAACTATTCAGAGTAGGTAAATCCATAGAGATAGAAAGCAGATTGGCAGTTGCCAGGAGTTGGATTGGGGGTGGGGGGAGTAACTGCACAGGGTTTTCCTTTGGGGTGATGAACATTTTTTGGAACTAGATAAAGGTGGTGGTTGCACAACATTTTTAATGTACTAAGGCCACTGCATTGTTCGCTTTAAAATGGTTAATTTTATGCTTTGTGAATCTCACCTCAATAACAAATTCTTTAAAAAGGCCCCAATAATGTCACTGATATCTAATCACTTTCTTAAAAAATTACAGAGCTCATTTTTGATCAAATTACTTACTGCTGCATTGTACATGGCACATAGACATGTAAAATATAGTCCCAACCCCTGAGGAATTTAAGGTCTAGTTGGAGAACACAGACGATTAATAAATAAAGCAACCGCCATAAGAGAAATGCCCTCCCTCAGTATGCAATGAGAGTTCAAAGATGCACACCTGCTTATGTAGAAAAGGAAAATTTTCCTGGAGATGACATTGGAAATGAACTTTAAGAGTTGAGTGGAATTTTTGTTAGAGTTGGAGGTGGAGAAAATACAAGAACAGAAGGAAAGGGGCTCCCTACGAGGGGATCACATGATAAGTTTAAGGACATTACCTCGTCCAACCTGGCTGTCATAAAAACTACTCTGGCACGAGTATTAAAGACCAGGTGTCAAAAGACCATGACTCTGCCCCCTTTGTCTCCAATGCCTGATGCCCTGTTTGCCACCTACTTAGTGAGGCACGAATGTCAAAGATAAAATAAAAGTGTGCATTAAAGCTTTCTAAAAAGCCCATGCACCAGGCAGACTATAAAATAATAGCCTCAGGTAGCAGCATTTATTACTACTGAAACAGGCTAAGGCAAGTATGCAACCAGATTTGAGGTACAAGGCAGAACACAGTGTCACTAGAATGAATTACAAGGGGAATGAGGGGGGAATAAGTCTGGGGCCATCTAGGGAATCTTTGCATTCCATCCTATAGGATTCGGACTGCACTTTAAATACTACAGGGAATCATTAAGGTCTCTTGTCCCATGAACTTGGCTAAGTAGGGCAAATGAGTGGTCAGGATGGGGAGAGCTGGGTGTGGACAAGCATGGGATCGAGATGCTTGAGGCATGTGCCCTCACTTGTGCACTGCGCTTCGAAGGCCCATCTTCCCAGGGTGTGGAACAGGACAGGAGGACACAGAAAGAGGGGAATGCTCACCCTTACGGAGAGGAAAACCTGCCACAGAACAGAATAGTGTTGGCCGCATTATGCCTAATGAAGAAAAGGAAGGGGTGGTCGGCGCAGAACGTGGGGCCAGAATCCATGCAACACTCCACAACCAAGATGGCTGAGGCGGCCGCAGCCTCCGTGCCTTCCTCGTTCACCTCCACAAAACTCTTGTGCACAAACTTGGACAGATAGAGATCTCTCTCGCCTGACATTGCTGAAAAGTCAGCCTCGTCCTCCTGAAAGGCATCAACCATTCCCAGACCCCGGAGCACAGATTCCATGTCATAATCCTCTTCCAGTTGAAATCTCGGAAGGAAAACTTCTACTTCGGTGCTCTGCATACGGCCTGGCTTGGTCCAGGCTCTGAATTTCTCCAAAGTGAGATTTTTTTCCACCTGAAGGACCAGAATTAGACTTTAAAATTCACACTTCCGTACGTAAGGCCACGCACACCCACATACCCTTCCTTCTCTCGGAGATGGGTGGTGATTGTCCCACAGGACCAGGGGCACCTTTCTGCGCCGGGTAATTTCTGAGATCTCGGACTTGTGCTATTCCAACCACGCTCCCTTGCCAAGCAGGCAGGATGTGAGGCAGCCCCGAGCCATAGAAACAGCGGCCGGTCCTCTCCTTACCCAACAGTATCGACAAGCTATCTTTCATCCTGACAACACTCAATGCCCAGCTGACTGTGGCATTCTTTTTCTTTTTCTTTTAACTGTGCTTATTTTTTGAAGATGAGGCACTGCTGGTAAGAAAAACGATTGGAAAAGAAAGGGCTCTTGCTGGAGCAATTTGCCAGAGGCACAATCCTGTGTACATTCTGAAGAAGAGATGTCAGGTGGCAAAGACACACAGAGAGCCCCTGGCTGCAGCTCGGCTCACGCAGGCCCCTTGGGACACTGGGAGTGCTGTGTGGTCCTCAGCGCCCGGGCCTAGAAGCTCCTGGGCCATGGATGACTCTCACACTAGGGATCCATGCTGAAAGGAAGCAAAGTGAGTTGGGAGTGCCGTCTGGGGCTGTTTCTGGCCCTGTTCTCCTGAGTTTCGAGGTCTTGATATTTAAAATATAATGCAGGGGCGCCTGGGCAGCTCCGCTGGTTAAGTGTCTGCCTTCAGCTGGGTCATGAGCCCGCACTGGGCTCCCTGCTCAGTAGGGAGTCTGCTTCTCCCTCTCCCTCTGCCTCTGCCCAACCCCCACTGTTCATGTGCACTCTCTCTCCCTCTCTCTCTCTCAAATAAATAAAATCTTTTAAAAAATAAAGAAATAAAATATAATGCTAACAACGATTATGATAATAATAATGGATCATATTTATTCAGGGCTTATTATGTACCAGACAATGTGCTAAGCTTGTTACTCGAACCACCCCCATTTTATCCTCATAGTAACTCTCAGGCAGATGTTATCACCATCCCTGTTTTCCATGTGGGAAAGCAGAGTTAAGGAATTTGGCGAGATCACATAGATAATAATGGGAGAAGTAGGTCCTGAATGACAGTTTGGTTCCAAAGCGCGAGGGTCTGAATACTGTGCTCTGTTGCCTGGTTGCCCACATCACTGACTTAAAAGGTAAACATAAATGTTCAAAGTGGTGCTTGAGTTCCAGCAGGAAGGATGCAAAGGGCGCCCTGGGGTTCTCACCAAGCTTAGATCCACGTTGTCGTCCGGCAGCAGAATGACCATGCTCAGCTCCTCACCCTCGTAGGGCAGCTCCAGGACCTGGGTCTGCACCTCTTTAATATAGGCAAGCTTAAACGTAGCTTCCTGAAACATCATCTGCACTGGCTTTTGCTCCTTCTGACGGGAAGAAACATGAGCATGGAATTAAAAACAGATTATTGTAAGAGGCAATAAAAATTTCCAAAAGAGCTATAATTGACTCCAGGAGTGTTTTCATCACCCATGATGGAAACGATATTCGTGTGCTAGTTCCGACTCTTTCCTATCATCGATACGAGGCATCTATGGTAAAGAGAAACGGTGCTAGCCTAGGAAAGGAGATGTTTTATTCAGCAAAATAAACGTGATACTCTGCATTTCCCACAGGAGGAAATCAGATTTTCCTCATGTAAAATATGCCTGGCAAATATATCTAAGGAAACAATATAATCAAATATAATGAAATAGAAAATTATTTCTATTTAACTGGAAAAAGTTTTTATGATAAAGAAGAGACTGAAGAGTTTCACAGCAGTGTGACGGGTGGCGTAAGGAGACAGCCCCTCAGGAAGCAGTCGGCCAGCAAGTAGAAAGAATTACGTATCTCCTCCTGTATTTAAATGAGTTGTTTCAGTTCTGATACTCTAATCCAAGGAAATAGTTTTCTAAAAATACAGAAGAGGTATATGCACGCAGAAGTTAATTGGACTACTATACTCATTAAAGTTTTAAAAGTTGATATGGATCAGCTATTCTAAAAATTAGAATAGTTTCTAAAATCATAGCTAGAAAAGTTCTCCCCCTTCCACTTTTGTAACTAGAGGGCTGATTATGTAAAGTACACTTTATGCCCCACCCCCCAAAAAAAGATTTTACCTGTACAGTACAAGTTTCCTAATTGCATTAAAATGGTATTTTTTTTTTTTTTTAGGGGCTGGGAGATTTGGCAAGCTATTTTAATGCCTGCCTGAATCGAAGTTATACCTCAATATCAAGACTAACACCTTTGTCAGTTAGTTTTAATATTAGAAACTTTTAATACTAGATTAATAGTGATTAATTAACAATAATTCAAGTCTATACTTATGTTAATTTTTCAAATATCTGATTAAAGAAATATTCACTCCTTCTATCCACTTGCCCAACACATACACATATCTCACTTCCTTAACACGTTTTCTGCTTTCTGTTAAGCAACTTAAGCTTAGAGGAAAAGTCTTAAGTTTCTAGAACTAGGTGGCAGCAATGAATGTAGGAGAAATTATCAGAGGCAGTAGGAATAGTAATAAAATGCAAAAAATCAGAGGCAGCAAATAATTTTTATTTCTCAGTTCTTTTCTCCTGAGTTCAAAATTTCATTCAGAAATGTGTTAAGTTTCAAAATTATTTCTAACCAATCATTTATGCTTTTACAAAGTTAACTTTTTCCATTCAATTTCTTCATGAAACTAGAAGGATTTTGGAAAGCTTCTCTCACCTGGTTTATTTTAAAAGGCATTTCCCTTGTGTACATTTTGTTGAACTGTTCATTCCACCTTCCTTTGAAGTAGATGGCATTGACAAGAACCAGCCTGGTGTTTGCATTGATTGAGTTACTTGGCAATAATTCTCGAATTTTACCTTCCAGGAAAAGTAGAGAATATATTCAGTTGGTTTTTACAGAAGTGTGATGAATAAATCGTAATAAGGCTTACTGACAGATCCTCAATTATTAATCAAGAACCAAACGTTCTTTTCTTTTCCAAATTTGGTGAGCTTGGATTGCTATGTGCAGAAATGAAAAAAAAACAATCCACACAAGTGGTTTTCATGGTCAGGTCATCGATGCTGTGGGTACCCCCACAAAATCCATGACGTTGAAAGGTTTCTAAATCACTCAGAGAAAACACTACATGAGGTCGGATAGCAAGGCAAGCAGGAAATGAGAGAGGGGCTGGGAGGGACTTAGGTTCTCTCAAGTCCTAAAATGGAGCATTTGGTTTAATGCACCAAAGGTACAATGAGTGCTAACATTCCACCACCATGTCGACATGTCAGAGGCAGCCAGAATGAATGACTCAAAGGGGATATAGTTGACAATGGGCAGCATGGGTGCATTGAGGAGCTTCTGGAAGCATCTGGAAGAGATTTCACTATTTGATCCTCTAAACAAAATACCAGACATTCCTGGAAAAGGTAAGGTGGGCAAGTGAAAGATACTCCCTTCTTCCCTAGATATCAAGTTGTACCTTTCCAATGAACTAAGAGCATCCCTGCTAATTCCCTGCCTCCAGATGGCATAAGTAGCAAATATTCCAAGAAGAAATGGTAGCAATAACTGCTAACTCTCTAAGGAGAGACAACCTCCTGTTCTCTATTGTCTGACTTATTGATAGAAATAGGAGTGTTCCTAGTGGTACTAAGTAGAGTTGGTGCAGAGGGTCCTGAATGGTTCGAACATCATTGATCGTGCGGGCCAAGATCAGAACACACCACTCTGTAAAACAGAAACGAATAAGCCTCAATGCCAAACAAAGGATGATTTCAGTCTAGAGAACTGATCAGCTGTGAGAGAGCATCTGCATTTGGCCTACCAAATCTAGGCTTATCAAACCTAATTAAGGGAGTGTACGTGGAAGACATGAAAGCAGCAGCAGAATAAGTAAGCTTAATGTATAGGGTGAAAGTGGTGGTATGTGAGGTCCACAGAGAATTTTGAAGCCCAAGTGTATGTCTCAGAGAAGATCTGACCGATAGCCTCCTTCCTACGGAGGTGATGAATTCCCCCAACATGTGAATGTTATAGGCCAACTGAAAGGATGTTTCAGTGTAAGTTATTAAACTGGAAATCCAGCCTATGACTTTCTTTGGACATTTGTATCAGTCTTTCTTGTCCCAGGAGAATGGACAAAACTAAGTCTCTGTGGTTGAAAACCTGAGCATCTGATCAGAACCCTGTGAGTCCATTAAGTTTCAAATACGCCAAGAGGCCCAGCCCGTCAGCAGGCCTCTGACCATCTGAAACACTCGTGAAATCAGAGCATCAGGAAAAGCAAGGGGAGGAACAGGGAGGGGAGGAGAACCAGGGGAAAGATGAGAGGGCAGAGGGAGAAGGAAAAACAAGGGGGTAATAACATGTAATTCTGACCTTCAGTCTTTTTTGAGACCCAAGTGTTGATGTGTTTCCTGCACTGCTCCGCAGCACTGGCAAAGGAAAGCTGCTCCAGCTCAGCATGGTAGAACCGAAGACAGGATTCCTTAAAGGTCTTTGGAGGGAAAAGGGTTCAAATATGGCTATATTCCTAAATAAAGTTCAGGTTCCAAGAAAATTGGAATCTTACATACGTTTTATCAAAACGAGTATACATCTCTTAAAAAGTGGTCATATCTTAGTCTACTAGGTACTAAAATATCAGAGTCTATAAACAGGTAAGCACTAAGCCACAAATAACTAGAAATGGATAAGTGAATTTTAGAAGTAGTCAAATTTTAAATAATTCAAGGCACAGTTATAGCATTATGATTTTTTAAAAAAAAGTTTACCATAATTTTCAGTTCTCCAAGATCTTTCAGACTCCATATTTTGATTACAACTTTTATTGTTCTGCTGACTCAACTTACCGAGAGGAATTCACAAGTCTTTTCTCCAAAGAGCCTGTTGGCCGTTCTGAGCAAGTACTTGGTGCCAGGTTTGTTCACTTCAGCAAGAAGTGACTGGAAACTCTGATGAATGTCTTTCTCTGTGCTTAATGAAAGCACCTGTTGAGAAAAATAATTTTAAAATTTATCAAGATTGTTCTTTGGGGGGCAGCTGGGTGGCTCAGCCAGTTAAGCGTCTGACACTTGATTTCAGCTCAGGTCACGATCTCAGCGTCATGAGATCAAGCCCTGAGTCAGGCTCTGCACTCAGCGTGGTGTCTGCTTCAGATTCTCTCTCCCTCTCTCTTTGCTTCCCCCCTCCCCCCCAGCTGCTCGCATACTCTCTCTCTCAAAAAAAACAGATCGTCTCAAAAAATCTGTAAGCAAAATTCTTTCTTAAATACTCTACAAAATTTTCCTTTAAAGGACACTGTTTTCTCTTTTAAAAAAGGACATTACATTCATTTTAATTGCAGATTTAGTACATACTAGAGCAGCACTATGTGGGATGAGGAGAAGATACAGAGAGAAAAGGACAGAGAGAGAGAGGGAGGGAGACAACAGAAAACAGGGGAGTAAGACAAAATGGATGAAAGACCTAAACGTGAGACAGAAATCCAACAAAATCCTAGAGGAGAACACAGGCAGCAACCTCTTTGACCTCAGCCGCAGCAACTTCTTGCTAGACACGTCTCCAAAGGCCAGGGAAACAAAAGCAAAAATGAACTATGGGGACTTCATCAAGATAAAAAGCTTTTGCACAGCAAAGGAAATAATCAACAAAACCAAAAGACACCCGACAGAATGGGAGAAGATATTTGCAAATGACGTACCAGATAAAAGGCTAGTATCCAAAACTTGTAAAGAACTTACCAAATTCAACACCCAAAAAACAAATAATCCAGTCAAAAAATGGGCAGAAGACATGAACAGACATACCTCCAAAGACACGCAAATGGCTAACAGACACATGAAAAAGCGCTCAACATCACTCAGCATCAGGGAAATACAGATCAAAACCACAACGAGATACCCCTTCACACCAGAGAGAATGGCTAAAATTGACAAGTCAGGAAACGACAGATGTTGGCGGGGATGCGAAGGGGAACCCTCCTACACTGTTGGTGGGAATGCAAGCTGGTGCAGCCACTCTGAAAATACCCTATGACCCAGCAATTGCACTACGGGGTATTTACCCCAAAGATACAAATGCAGGGATCCGAAGGGCTACGTGCACCCCAATGTTTATAGCAGCTATGTCCACAATAGCCAAAATATGGAAAGAGCTCAGACGTCCATCGACAGAAGAATGGATAAAGATGTGATATATATATATATCACATTGTGTGTGTGTATACACACACACAACGGACTATTACTCAGCCATCAAAAAGAACGAAATCTTTCCATTTGCAATGACCTGGATGGAACTAGAGGGCATTATGCTAAGTGAAATAAAGCAGACAGACAAATACCATATGATTTCACTCATATGTGGAATTTAAGAAACAAAACAGATGAATATAGGGGAAGGAAAGTAAAAATAAAGTAAAAACAGAGAGAGAAGCAAACCATAAAACACTCCTAAGTACAGGGAACAACCAGGGCTGCCGGAGGGAAGGAGGGTGGGGGGATGGGGTAACTAGGTGATGGGCGTTAAGGAGGGCACTTGATGGAATGAGCACTGGGTGTTATATGCAACTGATACTAAATTCTACCCCTGAAACTAATAATACACTATATGTTAACTAAATTGAATTTAAATTAAAAATTTTAAAATTAAAAAAAACCAGGGGAGTAAGAATTGGCTTTTCTGCCTAAATAGATATCTATTGTTTATAGGTAAGTAATAGGAAGGGGCACCTGGGTGGTGCAGTCCGTTGAGCATCCAACTATTGGTTTTGGCTCAGGTCATGATCTCAGGGTCATGGGATCGAGCCCTGCGTCGGGCTCTGTGCTTTGTGGGGAGTCTGCCTGGGAATCTCTCTCCCTCTCCCTCTGCCCCTCCTGCTTGTGCTCTCTCTCTCTCTCTCTCAAACGAATAAGTAAATCTTTAAGAAAATAAAAAAGGTAAGTAATAGGAAAGAATGACAAGGATGAGAGGGGTTCAGAAAAATGGACTGTTACATGGGCGCCTGGGTGGCTCAGTTGGTTGAGCGTCTGCCTTCGGCTCAGGTCATGATCCTGGAGTCCCGGGATCGAGTCCCGCATCGGGCTCCCTGCTCGGTGGGGAGTCTGCTTCTCCCTCTGACCCTCTTCCCTCTCGTGCTCTCTCTCTCTCATTCTCTCTCTCTCAAAAAGATAAATAAAAAAATCAAAGAAAAAAGAAAAATAGGCTATTACAAAATCTTGCATCCCAAGGAAAACATTAAGTATGAAATGTACCCTATATAGAGTAAAATTTGCTTCTAAGATTTACAAGGAAAAAAGAACAACAACACGTACAGTTAAAAGCATGAAAAGTTCATGGAGAAATGAGCAGAAATACAATCAGTGGGGAAAACATCACTTTCAGTCTCTGCCAGTGCACACAGAATCCGAAAGCTAGTTCTTTGAAAGAAGTTCCCTGAGTGCTATGAGTAGCAATGTGTATTTAGCATATTCAGTGCCACCGCCATCCAGCTGAGTACAGGAGGATAAGGAATTTCAATGTCTCTGAATACAAAGTAACCAGACAATCTTCAGGTTCTCAAAAAAAGCTCCCAGAGGGTTCATCAGTTAGCCTAAAAACACAGAAAAGTTCAGTAAGCCCAAAGAAGCCCCCTTCTACACGGACTCCTTCCTACCACAAGCTGAAAAATGAATGACATGAGTAGTCACCCCAGAAAGGGCTCTCAAGGGAAAAGAAAGTTATATCAAAACAAAGAGCCCCACTGACTAACACACGGGTAGTGAAGATGTGTGTGGGGGCATGAGGTAAGCTTTTAGGTTTCATCTCGGCCACATGTCCCCCACCTACTCTGTAAAACCCCTTCAGGACAGGGATGGATTCTTAATCATTTTCAGATGTTTGCTGAATGTTTAACTAGTCCACGTGCCATCTGTATATGCAATAAAGACGTGGTTTTTTACCCACTTTGCATATTTTTGTCCATCCCCTTACTGAGCTAGGAAGGCATGGTGGTGTATTAATGCCTTGAAATAGATACGAACCTCCCCCTCCTTACTAAAGAATAATATAGCTATGAAATCTTTTACTCCAAAAATGAGAGCTCTCAGCTGCTTAGAGTTCCAAATAATTTCAGTATCATTTCCCAAACGAAGATAAAGTGCTAGGATAAAATTCTGATAGTCTTATCCAGGTTATTCATAAGGGAACTTGCCCCCCAAAATCTCTCAGGGAAGGGGACTCCCAGCCTTGTCCTTTGCGGCTTGGCCTCCAGGCAGCCCCAGCTGCCAGACACAAGCACAGATGTATGTAAACGCTGGGCACCCCTCCCACCCTGCCTCAGCTTTACGGCAGTTCTGGAGCCTGAGGTTTGAAGCTGGGTGATGGGACATAATAACCAAAAAGGCAGTCCCTTCTGCTGGGTGACAAGCAGGTTTACCTGGGCCATCTGGGCAGCAGTGTTTCCTTTTGCCCCCAGGAAGACCATGGCCAGGGCTGAGGAGATGCTCACAGGAGAATAGAACACGTTGTGTGAAGGGTTGTCTTGACACAGTATCTTTAAAAGCTGGATGGCAAAGGTGCCATTTGCTTCAGAAAGAGCGTCCATGATGCAGGGTCTGGAACCAGAGCATAAAGAGAGAGGCTGCTTCAACACCCCCCCGCCCAACGTTATTAACCTCACATATGGCAGTTTGGGAATTGTACGGGTTTTTGTTTTTGTTTTTTTTTTTTAATGATAAAGCTCATAAATATTTTAAGTTGAAGGAAAACCCATTTACTATTGCTCTCCATCCAAAAAGTAAGTCCAAATATTAAGATAATTAGCTAAGTGTGGTACTGGCAGAAGATCGAACCAGCTTGAGAGCCTTGGGGAAAAATGAAGAGCACCAGCTCCTGGGCACAGACACACAGC